AGGATTTGAAAAGCGGCACTTAAAATGGAAAGTGAAAGGGACAACAGATTGCTAAAGGTCAGATTTGTTAATAGAGAGGATCAAAACAAACCCAGGCATCAGAATTTGAATGCCCTTTCTCACCACAATTACACCATCCCCAAACCAGATCATTTCTTATGAGATTCCGAAGGCCAATTTAAAATTTTTCTATGTATCGCTTCCTAGGTTGTATGCAGCCTTTCTTTCCCCCTAACCTGCATTATCTCATTCCTCTTCCCCCGCCCCTCCCCGCCCTTTTTGCCAAAGATGTTCAAGGTGTGTGGTTAAACAGCTTTTTCTGCCTCTCTTCAGGCTCTTCCAATTATGGAGGAAAATTCCCAGCTCAGAAACATGTTAATCCAGGATGCACGCCCCATGGCTTCAGGGATCGCGAGTTCAGCAAATGCTGCCCAGACCAATGCAAGGAATGTGAATAATCCTGCTTTGGAATCCGGGATGCTCAGTAGAAGTTAGGGACAATTTCTTTTGTGTTCTTTTGCTTTTTTTTTTAACTATGAAATATACATTTTTTTTACTCTTTTGTATGACATGTGGGCAGCTTACAAAGAAGTAATAATAATACCTATGTGCCTGCCACTGAGACTTAGGGACAGAGCATTACCAGCATCTCAGAGGCCCTGGATACCCATCACTGATGATATCTTCTCTCAGTGTCAAAGACAAGTGCCCTTCAGAATTATAGAAGTCTGAATCTATAATTAATGCATTGCTTACTTTTACCTACTTATAAACTTTATATAATGAAATTATTTAGTATGTAAAATTTTCTTTTCTGTTTTATAGATTAATCCAGATTAAACACTGTTTTTTAGATTAATCCATTTTCACATGCATATCTGTAATTCACTAATTTTAACTGCTATATGGTATTCTACAATAATACTATACAATAATTTCTTATTCCTGTTACAGTTGATGGATATTTCTGTGGTCTCTGGGTTTTTGCTATTATGAACTCTTTTCTGTGCTTTGAGATACAAAGGTGTAAGAGTTTCTTCAGAATATATAATTCAGGCTAGAATTGCTACAGTGTATTTCTCTTTGGCTTATTAGCTACCAACAAATGTTAGAGATCTCACTAGAATATATAGACAAAGAGGTTATTCTGGTAATACATGAGATATTTAATTACTATTTGAATTATGAAAGTGAACTAAGCTTTTCAGTAGAAGCCTTATGATGGTTTCTCAAGGACCTCTACTGCTTATAAGCACCTTTGCTTACAAAAAAAAAAAAAATAGATAAAACAAAAAATACTTTTCCCAGCTTTGTATAAGTATGGATAAACTGCACAGTGTTATCTCATACTAATATAGGCATTAATGTTCTCATTCATTTTCACTATCCAATGCATAAAAGATGAATAAATAACATGTCTCAAATATATGTGTCTAAGATTGTCATTTTAATAGAAAAAAAAAGGAATTTTTTTTTCTATTAAAATTTCTTTTGATTGCTCTTGTCATTTACACATAATGGGATTCTTAAAATTCTGGTCCAGTGGATTCAGGTTCTGCTCTTTGCCCATGTTCATATGCCACTTGCCTGAATTAAAAGCAGAACAAACAAATTCTTCATAGTACAAGCTAATATTATTAAAACAGTGATCTCAAAAAAAGGCAAAATAATAACAATAATACCATTTGATTTTATGAGAAACATTACGTGAAGCACTCTGCATGCATTATTTTGTTTAAAAATATCACAACAATTTTGTGACAACAGTTGTGTTACTCTCCCCATTTTACAGATGAGGAAACTGAAGCTTAGAGAGATTAAGGAGATTGAACAAAGGAACAAAATTTTGACGCCATGGTATTCAAATCCAGTTCTGTTGACTTCAGAGACCACCTTCTTAACAACTACCCTATGCAGGAATCCCCCAGAATGCAACTGAGAGCTGTAAGAAAAAAAATTAAAAGAGGCAACATGCCAAAAGTTTAAGGGCTGAAACTTACATAGTTTACTCAGAAAATGTTAAGCTCTCCTTCAATATACATTTACTCTCATTTTATTTACGATGTTAACTTGCTTGGTTATCCAAACACCAAGTTTACAAAACAGATGCAACAAGGAAAGTGATGAGGAACTTCTGTGGAAGGTAATTGACGGAGGCATGAGAGCTGAAAGCTTAAACTTCCACGAGAAAGGCAATAAAAATAATAGGTTAAAATATTTGGACTCAAGGTCTAAGGACTTTTAATATGCAGTAAGGGAGCTCTGATCAGGACAATATCATAGCATGCTATTGTGGTGGATGTGTAATGAAGCTGTTATGTCATTAAGAAAATGTATGATTATGCTCAACATATTTTATACAATGGTAGATAAATCGAAGGATCCTAATTTGATTTAAAAAAATGTTGATGTTTAAAACAGCAATGCGTTGAGTATCTCAATACCTCAGTGGTGGAAATAAAACCTTTCTTTGTGCTTGCTGTGCTTGCTGTGACTTTTAATTATTTCACACAAAAGATGCCTCATTTTAGAACTAAAGAAACCAGGGTACAACCACTTGACTCACTGTCCAAAATGACTTCTAAATATTCTGAATAAGTTTAACTTTGCTTTATTTTGGCAAATGGTATAAATGAAAAATTAGAACCCAAATAATTTAAGCATTAATCTGGGATTTACAGCTCTTAATTTAAAATGCCCCCTAAAGACTTAATTGTTGAGTGGGACACATCTTCACTTTTCTTCTGATCCAGCAGAAACAGAAATCGAACCATATCAGAAGGGCCAAATATTCACTGTACAGGAAGGATGGGGAAAGCAGAGTGACCACCAATTAGGAAATTTTCCTTTTTAAGAATTTCTATGCTTCTTTATGTCTCCGTTACAGATATGGGATGGAAACCTAATCTTATGTTGATCATTTGCATGTTTTCCTACTGTGCTATGTTGTTGCTAATGTTTGGCTACTAGCTACAGGACCCCTGTCAAGCTCCCAAAGAGAAAGGGCTCTGCTTTAGGCATGCCCCTTTATCCTAAAAGAGCTCAGGATAAAACAATGCAGAGAAGTATTTCTCATTTAAGAACTTCAAAAACGGAGAAAAAAAATATAAAACAAAACACTACAATCTTGTCTGTCACAGGTACTTAAAATGGATTATTTTCCCTTTCTCCCAGTCTCTTTGGTTTGATTTGGTTTGTTTGTTTGTTTAAGAATTTATTATTTAGTGCTTTTAACACAAAGGATATCAGTTTGAAATCAAGGTTAATAGGTGGAACTAGAACCATATGATTTCAAAAGAATGCAGTGTGTACTAAGCCTTCATTAGGTGCTAGAAAAGAGGGCAAAACACTCATCTTATATGTAGAAGGTGATATTTAGTCAAATAGAATCACAATCACGCATTGTGCACAATGAGATCATGAGAGTTAGGGAATAAGAATATTCAGTCTGGAAAAAATGCAAATCAAATATCTTAAGTGAAAACACTTTTTCTAAAAATAATTTTTAAAGAAGGACATTTCTGGTAGAGACCTGGAGCCACAAGAAAGGAAGCTACCTCTTTAGGATTACTTCTTGACTAAAGAATGCAAAGCAGTTTTTTCTTTGCTGGTGTATTGCCTGGTCAAGGACTTGACATGGTCCAGTGTATGAGACATCGGATTCATTTACAAGCTCAAAGTAAATGGGGATTATCTGGTTCAAAGATAATGCTGTGTTGTGGGCTGTTGTGGTCTCATGTAGTGCCTAAAAGAATGAGGCACTACAATACAAAAATACATTCTAAACCTTTGAAGCTTCCCAAATGCTCACTTTTGAAAGAAGAAAATATTCACACTTAAGAATATAATTTTCCCATAATTGGGAAAACTATGACTTGTTTTCTGAGGTCAGTTCGCTCATTAGAAATAAAAGATGGGTCTTCTGATCCTCCAGAATATCAACTGTCAATTAAAGCAAAACTGAATACAGAAAAATCTAAACTAACTGGGAAAAGGGTCATACAATATTTAACTAACATAAGTTATCCTCCCCACCACCAAACCGTTACCAAACCTTCTAAGGAATATCCACTCAAAGAGATATACTTCAATTTTTTTTTATGCTGACATCCTGGTATAACCAAAGTCTGAGGATTTGAAGAGAAGATGAACAAAGGGACTAGTTAATGCAGGAACTGAATAATCCAAAGCCCTCAACCATCCCTAGTTCCTGAGCTGAGTTGTTTAAAGTCTAGTAACAATGTCTGGGCTGCAAAAATGATATTTATTTAGAACACTTTGTGAAAATTTATAAAGTTAAAGAGATTTCTTTTCTTTTTTTTTTTTTAAGGAATAACAATAGCAAGCTTGGTGAATCACTTTGGTTCAACGCTATATCCCCATAGACTATAATTTACTACTAAACCAGGTATACAAAAAATGTTTTATGTTTTATGGTGATTTTATTTAAATAATTCAAAGATTGCTGTTAATTGGTGTTCATAATGAAAATAAATCTGGTAATTTGCTTACAGTCTCATATTTGAAAATAAGTAAAAATTCCATGCAAACACGTAAAGGGGGAATTTACCATTTCATTAGGAAAAATCCTGTGAGGGAAAGGGCAGTAAGGACTGAGAAGCACTGAAGTCTCTTGGGTAATATTTTTAAAATGTTTTCATTCAAAGATTTTAAAATAGAAAAAATAAGCCATCTAATTCTGAAGAACTCAGGTTCTAAGTTAGCACATTTTTCATTAATTTGTCATAATTTGTTCTGCAAAATTACCAGCATGGACCACACTATTGATAAGTTAAATCAATAACTTATTGATTTACAATACAGTAATTTTAATATTCTAACCATTTCATGAGATTGAGCTAAATGTTCTGTTTAGATAAAAGGAATTACCTTATAACTGACCAAATCAGTGTAACTGCCTGCTTTAACCCCAGATTCCTTCTAGGGCTGCAGCGGGGTAAAAATCTATCTGTATTGATTATTGAAGACAACACAGTTTATAAAACACAACTGTCCCCATTTGATTTCTAATGAGTTAACTAGTGGTTCTCCCAGTTACTCTAACTTGAAACAGTGGGAAGGACTGAAGGAAGAAGTACAAGCACGAAACATATTTGTTTCCAGGATGCCGATCAGGTGATTAGTTGTAGAGATCATGAAGCCAAAATTTATATTTTGTCTCTGCTTTTTGAAACAAAGTATTATTGTCCACACATTCAGTTTGTTCTTCTTCAACTTCCTTTTTAATTCCAGTTTTCACTGAGTCAGCTCCATTTGCTATGGTGAATCTGGGGCCCTTTGTTGCCGTAAGGGGTTAGCTGACAGGAGAGAATGGGGCTTCTCGACCCCCACAACAATGGGCTGCACCCCATAGGAGGGGAGAGGAAAGCTGTGCTCCATTCCCTGGGGACCAGACCTATCATCACTGGATGGTGGAACGCAGCAGCCTTGCTCTGTGCCCAGACTCCTCTGGGGTTCCTTCCTCCATGGCGTCAGTTGCACTGACCCTATACAAAAGAAAAAAAAGAAATTTCAGTATTCATATCATTCACAACGTCCAGCAAGAGAGACCCTAATAGAAGTGGTTAGAGAACAGGCTTGAAATATGAGACACAAAATGAACCCATTCCCAGATCATTCTGGACCCAAGTTTTTAAAAATTGAAACAGTCTTGGTTAGTTGAGATGATTCAAAGGACTCTGCTACCTGACATTGCTCTTTAGCTTTCTGTGTGTATTTCCTCTCCTCCCATCTGGACCGTAAATGACTGAAGAACAGAATTCAGGATTTAAACACACTTGCATTCCTATCCCGCAGCATGGTGCTCTGCACCCATGCGGTGCTCAGCACTTAACCCATACCACTTGATGTTGGCTGAGGTCAAAGTATATGGTTCTATGGGTCCACCACTAGTACAGCCTGTGTTTTAATGGGTTTTCCAGAAGCAAAGAAGGAATTGGCTAGGAGCCAGTCCTGATCTTTAATCTCTATCTCCCCACGTCCAGTCTCTATGTGCACTTTCACCACAGGCGTTTATGAGACAGCTGGACATGATCGGGGATGTGATCACTCATACTGGGAGACAGTTATACGAGTGGCCCACGGAGAATGGTCAGACCGCAGCACAGTGAGCACAAAGAGAGATATTCTAATCTATTCCTGAGGACTCAGCTGAGTCCTCAGCGCTTTCCTGAGTTTAACCATACTCTGGACAAACCATTATGCTATTGATTAACTTGTAAAATTATATTATATGTGCCTCTTAAGTGGATTACCTTTATAACAAAGAATTATGTTTTTAGCTCTTCAAGAAAAAGTAACATGTGACTACAAGATATTCATTACTTTCTAATAATGCGACTAATAACAACGAAACCCAAGCAACTTTTTAAAATGCTGAATGTTTTCATTATCCAGGCAATAACGCTGGTAGCAGTATATATGACACTATAATATTTATTGTAGTTTTATCATTCAATTCTTAAGTATACCTTGATATCCAGGGCTTTCCTCAAATTAGGAAATAAAGTTCTACCGAATTTGAGTTACATGGCAACATATGTATGAGAGGTGAATTTAGAGTGAGTTTTTCAAAATAAGAAGCCTATGTTTTTTCTACAAGGAAGTCTGAGGAAAGTATGGTAATAAGCATATCTGTGAAGGGCAAATATACTTGCAGCTGAAACCTCTCTCAGTAGCAAAGGAACTGTTTTTGTTGGCTCAAAGTTTCTCTGAACCTTTCTCAAGGCTTAAGATAAAAATTCTGTTTAACCTTGTTCCTCTAGTTATAAAACAGAACTATGATATCTGAGACAGAAGCCCAAGAGGTTTATCATAATACAAATGCTGTCAAAAGTATTACATCATAGCATACCTAACTCCATTTCTACCTGAGGCAGACTGACTTCCAGAACAGCCTGAGGACCTGGGTCGATTTCATGGCTCCTCTCCCAGTGGCTTGTCTGGACTTCATAGATAGCCAGGCATCTAGCTGAGGTCTAGCCTCTGATAAAACCTGAATAGTCTTCTGTCCCTAGGAGAACCCTCAGATCAACTTAAATTCACAGGAATCTTTCTTAGTAGAACATGGAACACAGTTTCTTAGAGCCATTGACAATTTCACTGGAACTATACCTACAGCTACCAATATAAATCGAAACCCCAACAATGACCTCAAAGCTCAACCTAATTCCAAGTAAGGAGTCACTCATTGTGTGCTTGCTCGAAGTGATCTAGCAGATTGCTTTAAGACCAGAGTTTTGAGTGAACATGGTAACCTCGCATAAAACAGGAAACTAGTCCAAATATTTTTCTCTTAAAACTCAATGGCATCCCAATACAGCCAAGCTGCTCGCATAGCTTATACAATTAAACTATTGTTTCTGTGCTTAGATGAGACTGTCTCACAATCAGGAAAACATTCAGGATCTAATAAACATAACTATTCACCAGGTTCCAGGGAGAAAAACTGGTCAGCAACTGTGGCCTGGCCATCCCGGGGAGCCACGGGTTGATCCCCATTCCTGAGGTTCTGGTGTTCCTTTATAACCACAAACTGCAGAGAATATAAGGGAGAGAGAGAAAGGACATTGCTGTAATTCATAAATTATCTCATCATACATGGAATCAAAGTCTACAGCTTCCTTGTGTTCATCCTATGGAAGGTGAAAGCTGACAGAGGGACCCTGTCTCATTTATCCTTCTGGCTAATGAAAAATTCAGTTTTCAGTTAGGAACCTTATGTTACCCTCTATTAAAGTAACCAGGTCCTATCAATATCTTTGCTGAAGAATCGATCCTAATGCTGGAATTCCCACTTTTGGGTCATGGATCCCTGGGGCTGCTGTTTTACTTTAAGCAATCCAAGAATCCGTAAGTGTTTAAGCATTGCCAGCCAACAGGCCAGAATAATAATATCTCATATCTGTATGTACTCCAACTTTTCAAATGTGCGTGTGTTCAGTTAATAAAATGCATTAAACATGCTGCCAAGTTCTGAGTGATTTGGGGTCATTCATGGGTGATAATAACAAATAGTGCAACTACGATTTGCAGAGATCTACCAAATGCTTTTTCATGATTAAACAGCTTGGGAGCCAGAATTCTTAAAGGCAGGTACAGAAAACAACATTTCTCTTTGGTCAACAAAATGGCTATTTTTGTCCCATCCACAATTCATTGGGCACTTGCAAAACAGGCTGACCAGAGTTCACTGGCTCACATTCATGCCAAATGAAGCCAGTATTAAAACAGGTCAATGATAAAAGGAAAGGAAAGAAGTGACTCCACGCCCTAAGATAAAGGATGCCGCTTGGCGAGGTCTCCCCTTGCTGATCAATGACCCACACAAGGGACTGTCTAAGGTTTTGGCTGATGATGCTCCACTGGTTCAGAAATGGGCCCATAACTCAGAAATACAATGAGGAAAAGGGAAGGGAAAAAACACTTGCGCGTGTTTCTCCTTGAGAAAAGTGTAGAAAAGAATGATGCATTGAGCTGATTAGAGAGACGAATGTTGGTCATGGAAGGGTGGGTCCCCTGGACACGTGTTTTCATTTTCTGATTGTTCACAGCACGAGTCACCCTCCTCCTCATTAATGATTTCCCTGCAGCAGCGTTTTGCAGAATTAATACATGACCCACTGTTTAAGGGCACATGCCTATTATTTCTGGTTCAAGTCAAAACCCAGCCCTCCGCACTGCAAATTTTCCAACCACATGTCTCTCTGCCAGAAGAACATAAGTCCCTAAGCTGAGATGTGGATGGCAGCTGATTGAACCAGATTTGTTTCTGCTGCTTCCCCTCCTAGTTCGGGTACTCAGCTCTCTCCCTCGCTCACAGATATCTGCAGAAGCAGCTGGTGCCGGCAACAGTTATGCGGGTAAGGGAGACTGAGCTTAGCGGCCCCAGCCTTCCGACCGCAGCTCCGAGCCAACAAGCTGCTCATGACGGCACCAAGTGTTTTTGATTTTTTAAAATATTAGATACACACAGATTGTGTGTCTCCTTCTCTCTCATGATTTAAGTAAGATGAATTAAACTTGCTACCCAAAACCTGAATGAAATACCATATAGACTGACAAGCACAATCTGGATAATTTAGAAGTCCACAAAGTCATGAGGCGTCAAAGAACTGAAGACATTCTCTAGCTAAGTTCACCCAGAATCACACACTTATTGAAACTCTAGAGACAGAAAGAATCTTAGAGCTCATCTAAGGAGGAGGAAGCAGAGGTTAAGTGACTTGTTGAAAATTAAACAGCCAATTGGTGGGAGGGTAAGGCTAGAATTTACATTTCTTATTGTATTTCCATACTCAAGTTCAAATAAAAAGTAAGTATATGCTGAATACCCCTAACAGGCAGGGACAGAAGATTACTTATTAGTCAAAAGCATAGCTACAGGAAATCTATTCTCTAGAAACGCACGTGAGGTGGAGGCTGGGGAATGGACGAAATGATGTCCCCTTTGCCCGTTAATAACCTCTCCCTAATAACCATTTCCCTGTTTGTCCACTGGTTTCAGTCCCCCTGGACCGGCCATATGTTCCAGCCTCTCCCACAATATATTCCACAAATAACACCAACCACACACAGTAAACCAATTATATCTTGACAGGTTTCTAGAAACAAAAAATTCAGTTTCAAAAGAGCTTAGCCTTTCCCAAGTCTGCCCTCTAGTGATCTAAGATCAATTACTGAAGGGGTGATCTTTGAAGCATTTTGAACTTGAATATAGAAGGTTGCCAGATAAAATACAGGACACCTGGTTAAATCTGAATTTAAATTAGTATGAATTTAACTAGGTGTCCTGTATTTAACTTTCAGTATTAGTATGAATTTAACTAGGTGTCCTGTATTTTTATTTGCTAAATCTGGCAGCTATTTTGCTGCCGAAGTTTAGGGACTCAAAATGTTTGTGAGAAAAGAAATACGAAGAAAACTAGAAGCATAATCTTGGATGTTTAAAATATCCATCTAAAACGGATCACGTAAAAACTGGGAAAGACTTTCATGTACACATCAAAATATAAGTTATAGAAGAAGCTACAGGATAGAAAAAAAAAATCAAGATTCCATAAATTTCTTGTGACATTTAATTATGGCTCTGTTTTAGCCTGTCTGGTTACTTTCATTTAAGGCAGCATTCCCCCAACATTATCGCCCCGCCCCCCAGGACTGCCCCAGTTATTGTGGTGTCGGCTAATATTAACACTAGCCGGAATCTGTAACACATCCCAGTCTCTCTGGATTCTGTGAAGAACAAGAAAAAATGAACGAAGATTAACATAAAGCTCGTTTCTTGCTTCATGTATTTTGGTTGCATTACCCAAGGCTGGGGACAGGAAGACACCCCGGCCTCTCCGTCTGCAGGCCTGCTGATGCTTGGGTCTCTGCATGACTCTTCATAAGGGCTCTTCTGATTTTTCGATAGCAGCTTCTGAGTCCTGCAGTAAAACCAAAATGTGAGACAACCTTGAAACAAAACAAAACAGTAGCCCACTCAGTGGCAGTCAGGGACAACTATGTTTGCTGTTGAAATTTAGGTACTTAAAATGCATGGGAGAGAAGAAATATTAAGAAAACTAGGAGTATAACTTTGGGCATATTTTCTGCAGAACTTTCCAGATAATGTTTCACTTTTTCTAAGGTTCTGTGAGTGGGGCGGGGCACAGGTGAGGGGGCAGGGAGCCATGCGTTCATTTATTCATGGACCTATCTGCTGAGGTGGGTCCTTCCAAGTGGGTCCGACAAGTGGGTCCGACAAGTGGGTCCTTCCAAGAAATCTATCTGTGAACTACATCCCAGTACGGGGGATATAGCAATGGAAAAACAACAACAAAATCTCTACCTAACGGATTTACAATTTGGTGGAAAGGTGGGTGGGAGCGGGGCCTACAGAAATAATATCACAGTAATTGTGATATATACGCTATATGAGCTCCTTTTCTGAGTGAAGCCAGTGGGGCTAGAAGATAGCAGTGACTCGCCCAGGCACACAGCTAGCAAGGGCAGCTCAGGAGCTAGGCCATAGTGACACAGTCCCTGGGCTCCTTAGATTGGCCCATCACAATCTCCTGCTTACACACATTACAAGCAAGAACACAAGGAGTGGAAAACCTAGGTGCATACTGTCCCACAGTTGCCAGGTCAGGAAACAGACTAGATCCTCTGCCTCCAAATCCAGTTTTATAAATACTTATCTCTTTGACAAATATTAAACACTAAGTCTATACAACACATGATGTCATACTCTAGAGGGGAGGGGTGAAAGGAGGGAGATTTAGCCTTGAGGTGGGATCCCTGTGCTCAAAGCCACGGCCTCTAGCGAGAGAGACAGGTACATAAGGTATTGAGCAACCATACAGACAAGCCAACAAAGGAAATGTGGTGGTGAAGACAACTAGTCAGCCTCAAGATTCTAAACAGCAGTGTTGCATCTGGCCTACAGAAGCCTTGTTCCTTCTGGGAGGGCCAACGTGTGTCCAGCAGGACCACCTAGACATCCGAGGAGGGCAACAGGAAGGTAGGAGCTGCTACGAAAGCCCCATCCCTAGAGCTGTGAATTCAACATAATGGGTAATACCAGGAAATGGAGTGGTTTGTTATTTTTAATCAAAGGCGTCAAGGAAAAAATTGAAGCAGGTGGCTAACACCTGCTTCAAAAAATTGAAGCAGGTGATTTGTTCAGAAAAACCTTCACAACTCTAGATGCATTTCAGCAAAAAGATAAAGAAAGGGTTCTGATAAGTTTTCTCTTTGAAGTAGTCCTTATAAATTTTGATTTTAGGTACACAGGGGTCAGAAGTTAAAGGCATCCTTTTTTGCGTACGAAGTCTATAGTCATCTTCGGCTGAGCTGATCTTTGAATTCTAAGTCAAGAAGCCAGTAATCTGCCACTGGCTTTCAGTCCAGAGCTCTGAAGAACATCAACAAAATGTAAAACATACTTACTATGTCATAGCCCATAGAATAGAAAAAATACTTGATAATTATGGCACATATAAAAACTTAAGTTTCTTGCTTACATTTTTTTCTACACTATTCACCAAATGTCTACTTCTCTTTTGGCAGTCTGTCCGATGGGATAAAGCATTGATTACTCAATATTCTTTCTACAGATATCCAAGATATTGATTAACTATCAGGCTACAAAGTACAATGGTTACTGATGGACCACTGAATTAAAATTTCAAGTTGTGCCTGAGAATCTTGTGTTTCAAGATAGAAAAGGGTTTGGAATATGTGACTCTTTGGGTAAAAATTGCAGTTCATGTAAAATCATAATAATAACAGACAACATTTATTAAGTCCTATATACCTGACCTACACTAAATTCTTTACTTAGATTTACTCAATTAATCTCACAATAATTCTTAAGTACTATTCTTGTCCCCATTTTATAGCAAAGGAAATTGATGTTATTTAAACATGAACTGGGATTTGAACCTGTGCAGTCTGATTATAGAGCCCACGCTCTTAACCGCTACACAGGGATATAGCAGGATATCAGACATGCATATATGGGATGATATGTTGAATTCTCCATAATACAGGACAGTTGTCATCTGAGCAGTTGTGTAGGACTGGAGTTTTAGCAGCAGATGGTGATAGGTATTTCGTAAATTCCAGAGAATTGGAACCTATTAGTTAAGTGAGTCTTAGGTTCTTTGGCCGTAAATAAGGAGAGCAAATTAGATAATTCGATAAAATTCTCTTCAACTCCAAAATGTTACAACTCACTGATTTCATATGGCACAAACTAAGAGCACATAAAATGTTTTTCGATATTAAAGATAGTGAATTATGCTGTCCTACTTTTCAAGAAAATGAAAAACCAGCAACAGTGTGATGCCTATTTCCTCACCCTAATATACCATTAATGTTTAAAATTAAACGATAAATGTTGTTCCACAGTTTTTAACTCTTAACTTGAAATTACTGAAAACACAAAATCCAAGGACCAGAAACTTCCTTCCTTTAACTTCCAACTTGGGGAAGTTAAAAATGTTCACTTTTGATTTTCTTGAACAAAAGTTAATACTTTGTGGAAATCAACTCTATGGAAGACAGCCACAAAAGAATTACAGTAATGCAGGTGTGGGGGAGGGGGAGAAGCAGGTGACGGTACTAGGAAAAAGGGGGAAAACAAATTAAAGAGCTAATTAAATAGCAACCCCATAAACTGCCTTGGAATAGCACAAGAAAAAGTAAAACCACTGATGTTTCAGACAACAGGAATCCTGCACCGTCTGCTGTTTTCTTTTATTGTTATTCTTTTTTTTTTTTTTTTTTTAATGTAGAAAGGGTGTAGAAGTTCCTCTCAAGGAGCAGGGTCTCCCTGGGCGGGGTCAGAAAGAGGCTGAAAGAAAGCATCACCTGTAGCAGTGAGCGCCCCACAGCCCCAGGAGCAGCAGCAGGACAAGCACCAGCACGCAGACAGCCCCCACCGCGAGGCTCCGCTGCCGCCCGTGGCCGGCGTGGCGCAGTTCCCACCATTTCAAGTCTCGGTGCTGACATCGCTCCCCGACGTAGCCAACAATACAGCTGTGACAACACACAAACAGAGGTCAGCTGTAAGCCCTGGCCAAAAAAACGCTTTTATTTTTCGGACTCAGAATCCAGCCGCCTCTCAAGCTCTACATTTCCAGACTCAGCTTTTTGGAAGCATATGGAAAATCCATCAGGGGTCAACTGAAAGCACTCTGCTTTACAAGTTAATGCTGCATGGACTTCCCCTTTTGTCTGTTTGCCCTGGGATTGATGGGGGATTATTTGCATACTGCCTCTATGAAGCATTGCAGACCATTGATTAAAGATCAATTACTCTTAGGCTAAAATCCTGAGAAGCTACCTTTAAGACCAACACAAAGCAACTCTGCCCTAAGAGCCAAGAGAGTTTTTGAACAAATGTTTGGCTGGATTGCAATGAAATCTCAATTCAAAGGAAGAAAGAATTTGACAGCAGTGTCCTTCACTTGAGAAGAGGTTATAATATAAGGTGAACAAGGAAACACAGCCTAGTCTACAGAGGGAAACATTTTCTCTTTTTCTTTCTTTTTTTTAAATAATCACCATAGGCCCAAGAGAAAAGCTCTCAGTGTTTGCTTACTTTCTTCAAGGAGGAAAAAACTAAATAGGTGAAAAAACAGGCATTCACCGGCAAACATCCTGCTGTTTCATTAGTGAAATTGTTTCTAGAATTACCAGCGAACAATGCTGTAAACCTTTAGATGAAAGTAAATGAAACAATGCTGCCATCTACTGGGAATGCATGCTTCCAGACACCATCAGGATCTTGGGCAGAATAAACTGTCTATTCTTCACAAGAGCATAAACTTTAAAAATATCCTATTAAATATTTTGTGATGCTCACTTGTTAGGAATGTCTCTCCCTTGGCCCTGAATCAACTGTATCTATTCATGACCCCACCTTATTCCAAAAAGACCTTAAGGAATGAATACAGTTCCCATGGTAGGGAGAGACAGCACGGGAAAAGCAGTAGACGAAGTCCCAGAAGATCTAGATTCCTCCCTAGTTCTACCTTGAGTTGGTCATAGAAGCTTTGGTGAGTCACTTTCAGAGATTGGAAGAAAAGGATCTAGCATTTTTTAAGCACCTTATCCATCTGACACTGTTCTGGGCACTTTTACTCATTTCATTTTTGATGGCTATTCCCATTTTACAGATGAGGAAAGTAAGGCTCAAAGGGGTTAAGTAATTCATACCAGGTCACATAGGTAATAAATGGTAGGTTCCAGTCAAATGGTTCTCTGATTTCGAAGCCTGAGGGTTCTTCCTACTACACTGGGCTTCTTCCAAAAAGGGTTTTAAGCAACACGCACCTTCTGAAAAGCTATTCTTCTAGAACTGACCACGCAAGAGATAGAAGTGTAGGAAGTATAAAGGACTATGGGGTGATTGCAGGCTTTCCTGGATGCCATTTTAATTCTAGCCAACATTGGTTATAGACATTCACTGTCGATGCCAAGCAGATACTTTTAAACTGTTTGGATATTAATGGGCCACACTTCAGAGCCTCTCAGATTTGGGGGTCTCAAGAAACATACCAATCACGTGACAAGAGTCCTGGAGGCCAAGGCAGGCTGCAATATCAGAGCCTCTGTGAGCCAGCATTTCACAAGTTCACAAGGGTGGGTCACACACCACTAGTTCTTTGGGTTATGAGTCCTTCCATTAAACCAAACAAAGGAGTCCCTAGCCAAATAAGTTGCAGTTTCTATGGTCAAATAATTTCAAGAAATTCTGGACTAACTAAAGGTCAACGAGCCTTTTTTACATGTTGTGGTATACCATAAATCGAGAATCAAAAGCTAGAGTGTACAGCATTTTCAAAATGATTTGACCACACAACCCTTTTTTCATGAAACAAACACTTCACAGCGCCAGCGCTGGAGGCTCTCGGTCTGGAGGAGACCTGCCCAGAAGGGTGTGGGTTGGTTCGAAGCCAAACTAGAATGAGGGAGGACCTCTTCTGAGCTCAAGAGGTTTAGAGTCTTCTGAGGATCGCCAGTCCAGGGAACCTGTGAGGAAGACTCTCAGAATCCTCACATCCCTGCATCCTCGGGCAGCAGGGAGGGGAGGAGTGAGAGTGTGTGGGGGCGGGGGGACGGGGTGTCCTCATCTCTGAGGGGAGTGTCCACTGCCCCCAAGCAAGGAAGGAAGAGCCCCCTTTATAAACCTCCTCGCAGCCTCAGGAATGCTCTATGTAGAATGATGCTTATGAAGTGTTTCTAATAAAAGTTAGAACTGGTAAGCTCCCTAGAGATGTGTCATTACGGAATTTAAGAAAATACAAGGTGAGGTCATCGGGCAGGAGGATGGAGGGTTGAATGTTTGATTAAATCACATTTTTATTAAATATAGAAATCAAAGACAAAGTTATGATCCAAACAAATGAGAACTCTGGTGATATTTTCAAAATTGCTTTTAATTCAAGGTCCTTAAATGTGAGTGTTATCTCTAGTTTGTCATTTTGTAGCAACTTGAGTTTAAAACATTATCTGGGGAATATGATATATTCATCAGGATTTAATGACAGAAAGAAAAGTAGTGTGCTAAAGAGTTCATAAATCTAATAAATTGACACTATCAGGTCTAAATGAAAATAATGTACTAAACTGTCATACGTAACCCTGCAGTACCCTTCATGTTATCATAAAGTCTTTTATAATCCAAAGTTAAAGTATCAGAGAGAAAAACAAATGGTGATCTAATAAACTAGGATAAGTGTTTTCATAATTTCATTATTTGGGATAATAAGAAACTATGAACAAGTAAAACAATTTGATTCTTGTTATCAAAATCAAGGATAACTAGTACTAGATTTATCTTAGGTTAGAAAAGTATAGCATGCAAATATGAATATGAAAACAGAATTCTTTTCGAACTGAGTCATTTTTGCTAATATCCATGGGTATTTTTTGTTATTTTTGTCAGGCTTACATAATTTTAAATGCAAGGCCATACACTTTGGCACAGAATATAACTTAATTCTTCTAATAATTTAGACTATGTAACTGCTGATTACCATGGATAAAATAATAAAAGCCTTTAAGTTTATAGCATCTATGTGTGAGGATCAGAATATTTTATCACTCCTTTCTCAGGCACACAGAAAATTATCAGTGAGTCAGGAGTCTAGCCATAGGAGGCCCATTTGCTTTGTGGTTTCTATCAATTTCCCCATATTACCTTCAAAATATGAAAGCAACAAAAAAGTAAAATTTGATGCAGAACTAGATTTTGCGAATGTCGTTTTATGAAAGGCTCCACGGGGAAGGTTTTCTGAATGAGGACAACAGGAGGGCCTCGTGGTTCCAGGGCTTCCTTAAACCTACTTCTCAGGTTGACACGGCCCACTGTGAAATCATCACGGGGACACAAAAAGGAGCAAAAAGCAGCAGTGACTGCATTCAGCAGTTGTCACTCAACAACAGAAGTATAAATGTAAACTATTAGGAAATTAAAATATATATACTATAAAATATATTGAAATACATGTGTATATTTTACACATATACATATTTATTTTGTACTGAAGGCAAGAAGTCTAGGGTGAATATATACAACACTTTTGTAAGTTTGGAAACATATAGTGGGTGCTCTCTGTATATTTGGCAGAAAATAAATCAAACTTTTAAGGAATTCTCTCACGAACCTAAGTTTTTCAATCAGAATGAGAACTTTAATCCCCAGACTGTACCAGTAGTAACATCAAGTTATTTAAGTAAAAGGGAAAATCACCAATTCTTTAGGTTTATATTTACCCCAGCAGCTTCGGGTGGTGTGGGGGGCAGGGGGGTGAGACGTGATATGCAGGGAGAGTTCAACACACACACAATTTGTATATGTATATTTATTTATTTTTCCCTAAGGAAAACTTTCCTTAATATAAATTTCACAAATTAGCTAAGAGTTATGGGCTGCCATATCACATCTCTGTGCTGTCGCAAAAACAGCTGGACTTACTTGCATGCGTAGTTGTCCACGGCTTCAATGTACATACACACACCGCCGTGGAGGCAGTACCCAGCGTGGGACGGGGGGCATTCTGGGTAACTGTTCCTCACAGAATAGTGGCCATCTTCCCTGAGCTGAGAGGGTGGAGTGGAGTCTAGAAGAATCAAAGACATTACTTTCACTTTCTGAAGCCATCAGGGTCTTTCAGGTACAGGTATCCCCACTTTTCAAAAGCTTGCTTTATGCCACTTTGCTTTACATAAGACCTACATTAGTGCCCGTTTTTGCTAACCAAAATAAATCCGAAGAGGATTTTTGCTTTTATGGAAAAAAGGCAAAAAGTGAAAATAGCATTCAGCGATTGTTTTTCATGGGCTATTATAGAGGCAGAGGCACCTGAGCAGCGAGAGTGACCCCACCAAGCTCCTTCCCCAGGAACCACACTGAGCATCTCAGAATCAAGTTGCCATAGCTTCGAACTCTGTCTGTGAGCATCTGTCCTTCATCTCCAGTTATTTTGTGCATTTGTTAGCAAGATATGTCTTAAGGTATCAGAAAAGCCTAAGAGAGCTTATAAGGGTGTTAAACTTAGGAAAAACTGGAAGTAATTAAATGTATTTGGTAAGTTATTTTGGGGATCTTGGAATGCTCAAAAATTTTCTCCATAGAAATTAATGGTAGTGATTGCTCCTTTACACCACCACTTTAGCTTATGAAAGTTTTCGTCGGAACTCTGCTTTTGGATGGCAGGGGAAATCTGTATCAATACCAGGAACTAGTTTCTGTGAACGATTTGTGACATAGTGTCTTTTAGTGGCAGTAGGACTATCAAAGCAACAATAGTTTCACTTTCTAACCAGACTTAGAGTTATGAAGCGAGCCATTCTTTCTTTTAGCTCGGTATGATTTGACATAGAGGCAAATAAGATAACTGGTCAATCCTAAAACACCGAA